AACATGTTGGGAGTTCTGTTTATCACCTGATCCTCAAAGTTTGAGTATAAATCTTTGTTTTTCTTCTTTGTAAGTCAAAACTCAAATATCTTTTCCCATTTGAAATCTTCATCACCTGTTGAAACAATACTGTAGTCATCCTGTTTTTCTAGGTCCCATAATTCTAAGATTAACCTTACTAGTAAAGTGGCTTCTCCTTTACTGTCCTTTCTTGTCACTGATAGTTTGGTGTCTATATTTCCTTCATTCAAAGCTTATCTTGATATATTGCCTCTTGTACTTTATATTTTAAATCTGTTCAAAGTGAAGTCTTAGTCTCTATAAGGCATAAACAAATTTAAATTGAAAATTAAATGTAATAATGAGTTTCAGAATTTTCTGTTCTGTTGACAGAGCTCTCCTTAGTTTTAAAGGGGAACCAAGACCAGTAAACTTTAAAAAATATTTCTAGATTCATAGGAAGCATCAATCCTTCACTGGGCAAGAAATTAAGAACTAATTACATTATTTGACTACTTTGTATTTGCAAACTTACCCAAAAGTGGCTTGGTGTATATTTTAATGTATCTGTTGGGAGACTGGCATGAGTTAGTCCAGTCGGTATACACTCATGTTCCACATAATGATGTTTCAGTCATTGGTGGACTGCATACACAACAGGGTTCCCATAAGATTAGTACCCTGTAGCCTAGTGTGTAGTACGCCATGCCATCTAGGTTTGTGTAAGTACACCCTGTGATGTTTGCACAACAACAAAATGGCCTAACGTATCCCCATCAAGTGATGCATAACTAATCATATTTTTCAGGTGTGCTTTTTGTGTTGGTTAAGTGTGTTGTTGAGCTCAGAATTAAAGTTGATATGATTCTTATCTATATTTTAACCACATTGCTCCCAGTGATAGCGTTAGTGCTCGGACAACTTTGGTCATTTGTCTTTAGGATAGTGTTTTTAGTTAATAGTTTGCAACTCTTTATCGGTCGAAATCCATCAAAAAAATCGAGAGCCTGGAGCAGTGACACCTAGATTTGGGGCCATAAGCCCCTGGTGACTATTAAAATTTAGAATTTCTCTGTTAGAACATTGAAAATTTTTCTAGGCTTTAAAGCAGTTGTTTCTAATAAGGAGTTGGAATAGCCTAAAGAGCCTTTTCAACATACAGCGGCTAGATCATAGCCCTGACCTGCTGAACACCAAGCTCAGATAAGCTTCCCAGGTGATTCCAATGTGTATTCCAATTAAAAAGTAATGTTCTGAGGCAGAGTTTTCAAACTTTTTTCCTGCATCATGTTAAGAATGTTTTATATCATGACCCAGACTACATATTTATATACTGAAACAGAAATTTCACAAAACAATATTTACCCTTACTACAAGTAAATCACTCTTACTTTCTATTTAAAAAAAAAAAATGCTGGGGGCCAGTCCTGTGGCGCAGTGGTTAAGTGCGCGTGCTCCGCTGTTGGCGGCCCGGGTTCAGATCCCAGGCACGCACCAAGGCACAGCTTGTCAGGCCATGCTGTGGCAGCGTCCCATATAAAGTGGAGGAAGATAGGCACAGATGTTAGCCCAGGGCTGATCTTCCTCACAAAAAAAAAAGAAAGAAAGAAAAAAAAAATGCCGATGCTTAACGCAGGGTTTTGACTAATGGTCTTGACCTGTAGCTTGAAAAACACTGCTCTGAGGGATAGAGTAACAGGTGGTGCACTTGGGGTTAACAATTATTGAAACTGTGTTTTCTGGATCACTTAATTATAAATGCTCTGGCTCAGAATCAACTGTAATTGTTTTTTGGTTTAGTGGTAGACGGAGGAGAAGTCCCTCCCCAGCACCCGCCAGAAGACGACGTTCTCCTTCTCCTGCTCCTCCTCCTCGACGGCGCAGGTCTCCCACACCACCACCGCGACGAAGGTACTTCATCAGATATGCTAGATGGAGCTAATTGGAGCAACATTGAATCTTTATGATTGAAATATCTTATTAGAGTGGCATTGCTCAGCCATTCACAAAATGCCACATATTATATGATTCCATTTATATGAAAAGTCCAGAACACACAAATCTACAGAGATAGAAAGTAGATTAGTGGTGCCTAGGGTGAGGTGGGAATGGGGAATGGTAATGGTTGCACAACTGAACGTACTAAAACCATGGAAATGTACACTTTAAATGAGTGAGTTTTATGGTATGTCAATCACATATCGGTGAAGATGTTAAATAAATTAAAAGGTGGAATCACTCTAGTGATTACAGAGGGGAAAAGTTAGCAGTGAAGTTATCTTCCTGGCAGATACCTCCTTAACTAAGGAATTAAAGTTAACATCCCCAGTAATACATATTGGCATCACATAATTTCTGGATACCTTGGTAGTATCCTTATCAGTTATGCAGAACCTCAGTCTAATTATTAGGAAATATCAGACAAACCCAAATTGAAGGTCAGTCTACAAAGTAATTGACTAGTACTTTTCAAAAATGGTGATCATGAAAGACAGACTGAAGAACAGTGACAAATAGGCAGAAACTTAAGGACACATGACAACTGAATGCAATGTAGGATCCTGATTTTTGGAACCTGGGACAGAAGGAGGACATTTGTGGAAAACTGGGGTGGTATTGGTATTTTAGTTAATACCAAGTTAGTAGTGAGGTTAATTTCATAATTTTGATAATTTTTCTATGCTTGTATAAGATGTTAAGTGGCAAATTTCCACCTTTATTGCAGCTCTTCTGTAAATCTAAAATGATTTCAAAATGAAAGTTAGGGGAAGAATATCTAATGACATTGCTCAAATATATTACCAAGTGGTATAATGGCTACTAGCACTCTTGAATGCCTATTATGTGCCAGGTAAAGTGCTGGGTGCTTTATATAATTTCATCTCTAGTCCTCAAGATGATCTTGCTTGGTAGGTGGTGGTGTTCCCATTTTTCAGGTGAGGAAATAGAGGTTCAGAGTTACTAAATAACTGCCCAAGGGCAAAAATGGAACTGCACTCTACCACATTGCCCAAAAGATGGCTTGCTGTAAAGCTGATTCTAGGCAGGAAAATATTTTGAGTTCGAGGCCTGAACGTTTCAGGAACAAATTAGGCAGTTGAACTAAAGGTTATGTTCAGGTCTAATTCGTAAGAGGCAGGTGAGGGTTAGGTAGGAATTAGACATTAAGAGGAAGGCCAGCCTGGATTTTCAGAGGGATGCATTCTGCTTAGCAGTAGACTTCGATTGAAAAAAGTGGTCTTATGAGACAGAAAATGCAAGTCTCTTTGAGGAGGTTAGAGAGATCTGTTAAAGCTTGTGCAGTAAACTCTAATTATTAATGTAGAGTCCAAATGACAATTTAGAGAGGGTGCCACATAGAGCTCTTTAAAGCACAGACTTCCTGAGTAAGTTGACCACAGTCAGTAGAGTCCTGCTAATGTAGTTAGCTAGTTATTATGTAATGATAAAGGATGTTCACAGTTTCCTCAGAGCAATGCAAGATTCTCTTCTCAAAAAAAAACATTAAATTGATTCCATGTGGATTATGTTAAATGACTTGATAGATTTGAATTCATTCTGAAAACTGCAAATTTCTCCATTAACCAGAATATCCTATTTTGTAGTCATCCAGAATAAACAGGAATTTGCTAAGTGAATTTTTTAATTTAAATAAGGATAAAGGGCAGGCCTCGTGGCTTAGCGGTTAAGCGCTCGCACTCTGCTGTTGTTGGCCCGGGTTCGGACCCCGGGCGCACACCGACACACCACTTCTCTGGCCATGCTGAGGCCGCATCCCACATACAGCAACTAGAAGGATGTGCAGCTATGATATACAACTATCTACTGGGGCTTTGGGGAAAAAAATAAATAAAATTATAAATAAGGATAAAGACATAGTATTTCCACTTAGACATATACTCTCTCTACCTGGTGCTAACTACAGTATAGCCACAACTGCTGGTTAGTTTTCTTTGTATTCTATTTCCTTATTCTCTTGGATATTTCAACTTAATGATATATTTTTCCTAGGACTCCTTCTCCTCCCCCACGTCGGCGCTCACCTTCCCCAAGAAGATACTCTCCTCCAATACAGAGGAGATACTCCCCTTCTCCACCTCCAAAGAGAAGAACGGCTTCTCCTCCTCCCCCTCCTAAACGAAGGGCATCACCATCTCCACCACCAAAGCGTCGAGTCTCCCATTCTCCACCTCCCAAACAAAGAAGCTCCCCAGTCACCAAGAGACGTTCGCCTTCATTGTCATCAAAGCATAGGAAAGGGTCTTCCCCAAGCCGGTCTACCAGGGAGGCCCGGTCACCACAACCAAACAAACGGCATTCGCCCTCACCACGGCCTCGAGCTCCTCAGACCTCAAGTCCTCCACCTGTTCGAAGAGGAGCATCATCATCACCCCAAAGAAGGCAGTCCCCATCTCCAAGTACAAGGCCAATTAGGAGAGTCTCCAGGACTCCGGAACCCAAAAAGACAAAAAAGTAAAAATATTCTATGCTTTTTGGTTAGGAAAACTAACTTGCATAGTTCTCTGTGAATACAAACTTTTAAGGCAAATTCTAGGTACTGTTCACAGATCATTTTATGTTTTCAGGATAGTTCCTTATGGCATAAACTAAATGCCATAGGCTTTTACTTGGTTTTTAGGAGTATCGGGTTTATTGAGGGGTGTGCTTCCAAAGCTAAACTCAAATGACGCATAGAACATCTCTCGCACGTTTATGTAAGGCTGATAAAAGTAGTCTTAAAGAAAAGGAACTGGCATTACTAATTTCATACAGAAAAATCATTGACAGAATGTATAGAATTGTGGGGCTTGAACTACTCTCCAGGAGATTTAGATGATATAAATTTGATATTTGTTAGTAGAATCAACTAACAGACTCAATGCTGTAAAAGGTTTAAAGTTTGTGACTTGTTTGTGTAATGGTAGTTTGTTGTCTTCTCTTAGGAAAGATCTGTTCTTGGATACTAAATGTTCTGGTTTTTCTCCTTTTCTAGGGCTGCCTCTCCAAGCCCTCAGTCTGTAAGGAGGGTCTCATCCTCCCGATCTGTCTCAGGATCTCCTGAGCTAGCAACTAAAAAGCCCCCAGCACCTCCATCCCCTGTCCAGTCTCAGTCACCCTCTACCAACTGGTCACCAGCGGTACCGGTCAAAAAGGCTAAAAGCCCAACACCAAGCCCGTCACCGGCAAGGGTATGTGTCTGTTGTGTTTTGGACATTTTTTATAATTGTTTGTGGTCACTTGGAAGCAGAGAAAATTTTTTTGTGTTTTGTAGTTCAGAAGAGTATTGTTTTCTCTGGTTCACATGGACTTCAGGAAGGCACACATGAAGTAGTGGTGGTTGCATCAGCAGTCCATGCTTAATACTCTAGCCACCCACTAATGTGTGATATATCTAATACTGTTAAATTCTAGAACCTTGGTGGTTGAGATTGGACTATATAGGAAATCGAGAAAAACAAAGAAAAAATTACCCAGGATTCTGTTATCTAGGGGAAAAATAGCTTAGTATTTCTGATGTTTTCTCTAGTGTTTGACACATTTTGAGATACCTAGTTAAGATCACACAAATCAATAGAACTTTCAGTCTTAGATCATCTCTTTTAGTATGATTTAAATTTTATAAAGGAAAAAATATGTATCACAAAATGCGGACAATGGTTATATGTTAGAAGGGGAATCATATGTGATTTAAATTTTTCTTTTTTACACTTTTAATGCTCTTATTTTCCCTACAATGGAAATACGTTATTTCTATAACAAAAAAAATGAACCTGGCAACCTGTGAAATACTAGATGGAATGTAAAGTATTTTATTGTCCCATGTAGTCATGCCTTTGGCAAGCTACATAAGAATAACAGTCTTGTTTTTACATTGTCGAGTTTAAATATCACTGGAGTATTAAAATATTGGAGTTTAAATGTTTTTTCCCCTTTGTGAGTCTTGGACAGGTTTCTGTATTTTATGAAATCAGTGGTTAGGTGTCCATCTTAATAGGTTTGACTGAATTATTGTGCAAATTAACCAAATGGATTGAGGAATTTTAAGTAATTGCTTAGAAATGTGAAATTTAAGAATTACAGACTAGATTCAATAATAGCAGAGCCTGCCCTTTGCATAAATTTGGTATATATGTAGTGAAGAACAGACCACCTCCATTCAAAAGATAGGAGAGGTCAGATGGTGACTAGAGACATGGCATTCATACAAGCATGTATTTAGAATAATAGCTGTATTTATTAAAATACTGCTCTGTGTTAGGCTATTATTGTGGGTGATTTACAGATATACCCATTTAATCCTCAAAACAGCTTTATCGAGGATTTTTATACCCTTTCTAGGACAACAAAAAGGGTTCAGAAAAAGTCAAGCAGTTTGTCTGAGGTCAAATAGTTATAGGTTCAGAAACCAGAATTCAACTGAAGCCTAGTTGAGTTCAGAGACTTCTCTTTCTGTCTCACATGCTGCTTTTCCTTAGAGTTGGAGATAGACCCTGACTCGCAGTTTGTGGTTGGGAAACCTAGTTTACTGTGAAATTAGTTGGGGATGGTTGTAAAAGTCAGTTATCTTCAAGGTCCATTCTGCCTCGTAAATCTGTGAAGAATATCGGCTTTCAATGTGGTTCTTATCTCTAGGAATACTTTTCTTGGTGGTAATTGGCCTTGGGCCTTTTTTTCCCTGAAGCCTTATGAATCCTGAGATTTGTCCATTTAACTATTCCCATGAGGTAATAAAATGTTGAGTTGGACAGAATTTTAATCAAATTGATTTTTTTTTTTTTTTTTTTGGTGAGGAAGATCAGCCCTGAGCTAACATCCATGCCTCCTCTTTTTGCTGAGGAAGACCGGCCCTGGGCTAACATCCATGCCCATCTTCCTCCACTTTATGTGGGACGCCGCCACAGCATGGCCTGACGAGTGGTGCATCAGTGGGCACCTGGCATCCGAACCCTGGGCCGCCAGCAGCAGAGCGCGTGCACTTAACCACTACGCCACAGGGCTGGCCCCAAGATTGATTTTTATTGCTGTTATTTTTCTGGATTTCTAGAATTCGGACCAAGAAGGAGGTGGAAAGAAGAAGAAGAAAAAAAAGGACAAGAAACACAAAAAGGATAAGAAGCACAAGAAGCACAAAAAACACAAGAAGGAAAAGGCTGTGGCTGCGGCTGCTGCAGCCGCTGTAACCCCTGCAGCCATTGCTGCCCCCACCACCACTTCAGCACAGGAAGAACCGGAGGCAGAGCCCGAGCCTCAGAAGGTAAGTATGGACCTGTCTTGTGGTTTCTACAAGTAGCCAAATCATTGCTTTTGAAAAGTAGCGAAACAATTTTTTCTAATAATTGGCTACTTGGTTGTTAACTCTCTTCTGATCTGTTTCTCAGTGACCTACCAAGAATAGGAATTTGCTTAGACTAAGGATAAGGATACGAGTGGCTGTCAAAAAGCTTAATGTATATTTTTTAAAATAACTTTTTTGAGATATAATTAACGTATCATGTAATTCACCCATTTAAAGTATACGATTCACTGGTTTTTAGTGTATTGGTAGAGTTGTGCAGCCATGGCCACACTTGGCTTCTGCTCTGTACTCAGCACCTCCCACGAGTGTCTCAAGACTTAATGATGTGACTATTCTGGTTTTTTAGGAGACTGAAAGCGAAGCCGAAGATAACCTTGATGACTTAGAAAAGCACCTGCGTGAAAAGGCCCTGAGGTCAATGCGGAAGGCTCAAGTGTCCCCACAGTCTTAGGTGGAAATGTTTGTTATGATGTAAATTTTATTTGGTTTGTACGCAATTCAATTTCAAAATTGCTAAAATGTGTTTGAGCTTTAGACTATAACATTTGTTGTAATAATTGCTAGGTTGAAGTTCACCATGTAAAAAAAGGGCATGGATTTACATTGCAAAAGATGTCCACAGTGTGTTAGTGACATTCTTTCATTGAGAGCTGACATAAATTCATTTAGAGTGAAATATTTTAAGCCAAAAAAA